GGCCAAGCACAGACCTCAGAAGCCAGCCCTGGGACTGTTGGGTGAGCTGCTACAAAATAGGGGTGCCAACGTAGTAGGTTCCCCGGAGGGGGTGGACGTGTCTGTGAGGAGTGGGCTGCCCARGCCCCCCACRGCTGTGCCCAACACTCACGGCCTCGTGTCCTCCTTGTCCACCTCCTTGTCAGTCTTTTCCCGGAAGCAGCAGCAGTAAATGATGATGCCGATGATGATGAGGGCTGCCACCACGCCCCCAGCAATGCCCGCATACAGGGCCACGTTCATGGAGGCTGCAACAGGTCAGAGCAGCTCACTCCCCAGCCCCTGACGTGGCTCGTGCCAGGGGGCATTGGGCAGTGCAGGGGGCTGGGGCAGGTCCCTCCCAGCCTCTGGGCCCGGGGCACTGTTGGCTTCTGGCCACACCCCTCAAAAGATACAGTCTACAGGACTGTGACCAGTCAGGCCAGGGACACTCCTCAGGTTAGAGAAGGGACAGATTGGTCCCTGGTTCTGTMCCTCAACACCCTGGGTCACCCAAGCTCTGAGACCTCGGGTGTTAGTCCCGCCAGCTCCTAGCTCATGCTAGAGCTAGACCTGGTGTCTAGCTGAAGAGTGTCCCACCCTAAAAAGATGGGCCCGGGCCATGGCAGCTGTCCCTGGGTACAGCCTCATGATCCCTGAGTGACTCTTGGGGCAGAGGACTGGGACCCTCCAGAAGGCCAGCTGCTGAAGACTCAGGCTCCACTTCCAAAGATCCAGTGGACTAGACTGGCCCCAGGTGAGGGCAGGCCTGGGACAGGAGGCATCTTGCCAGGTCCCCACGCTGCCCTGCCAGTGAGTGGCCCTAAGGGAGTCCCAGTTCATCTCCCGGGGCTCAGCTGAGTTGGGACCACGGCCAGCCCCCCGCCCCACGGCTCTCACGGGGTCTGACAGCCACGGTGATGTTGCAGAAGGTCGTCCCCACGTCGTTGCTGGAGGTGCAGATGTAGTAGCCCGACATGTCTGTGGAGATGTTCTTCAGAAAGACGGTCTGGCCTGAGACTGAGGGGACAGCAGAGGGTGAGGCCGGGGCAGGCAGGGCCTGTGGACGGAGCCGCAGAAGCCGCTTGCTCTGGGCAGGGGAATCTCCACCTCCATGGCCGGAGCCCAAGCCACGGTGGCTCAGTGGCACGCGGCTTGTTAGCCCTGCGTCCTYGGCAGGCCCCGTGGCTCCCTTGGGCCTGATCCCCCACCGTGGTCAGAGTTGGCCACACCTGCCCCACAGCTCGTGGGCGGGACATGAGGTGCTGCTGGTGAATGTGGCCTGGTGTGGCCTGAGGGCTCCAGGGAAGCACAGGAGCAGGGCTCGGAGGGTGCTTCACGGCTGGAAGGCGCTCACCACCCGAGACCTAGCTGGGAAGGCCAGGCTGAGCACAGGTGTCTGCCCCGAGGGTGTGCGCCTGCGCTGGGGGAGTGGGGTGTGGGTATGGGTGTGTGGGGTTGAGGTGAGGGTATGGGTGTGGGGGTGTGGGGGTGTGTAGAGGTGTGAGGTGAGGGTGTGGGGGTGTGGGGGTATGGGTGTGGGGGTGTGGGGTGTGGCGTGTGGGGTGTGGGGTAAGGGGGTGTGTAGGGGTGTGGGGGTGTATAGGGGTGTGGGTGTGGGGTGTGGGCGTGGGGTGTTGGCTGGGGAGGAGGCAGGCTCTGGCTAGGCTCTCTTACCCGCATGGCTCCAGGGAGCCAGCCTCTCTGAGCCTCAGCTGGGAAGTGGAGTGCAGACACCACCCTGAGTGAGGGAGCAGCGGCAGCCTCAGGGAGGAGCTGGAGACC